CTCTACAGCACCCTGTCATTTCATTTGTACCTTCTACGTAGGTACTTGATGAGTTGTTTAAATTACATATATAATACTCATTGTAGTGTCCACTGATGTAAATCTTTTACCGATGTAATAAAAGGTACATGCTGTATATTTTTTACAATTGCTTCTTTAATGTTTCATACACGTACACATTGTTTTTTTTATAAAATTATTCCAGCGTTTCAGGTAATTGAGCTGGCATTATTTTTCAGGAAATGTGTATTTCACGTGCCATAATTGTCAACGAAAATACAGAAACAAGTTTCATTTAGGAAGACATTTAAAGTACGAATGTGGAAAACCCAAAAAGTTCCAATGCCAGATTTGTTCGTTTTCTTCATCCAGACCCGACAGTCTTGTAGCACATTTCAAAACCAAAAGACATTTGGATATGATGAACTTTAGGTTGAAATAAATGAGTTTTATGATGCCATACGTTGCAGTGTGTTATGTTCAAATTAAGTATATTCTAAAAAATAAAAAAAAGTTTTGATATTATTATTAAGTAGACTCTTTCATTATTTCTCTCTCCTCCGGATCATGAAATGTTAATGAATGGAATACATTTGACTAGTTTCACATTTGTGTTTGTTGTTTAGTCTCTAACACAGCAGTTTCGATATTAACACCCTTCTCAAAGTGAATAAACACGATATTTCTGTCAGTATGTTTTCAATACTTTACTAATGTCAGTTTCCTTTTAGGTTCGTCTAAAGATCATTATGTTAATTCAGATGGAAGGTTCGCCTGTCGAAAATGTACTTCTTCTTACACTCATAAGCGCAATTTGATGGCTCACTTGAGATACAAATGCGGAGTTGACCCTCAATTCACTTGTTACGTGTGCAAAAAGCAGTTTAGAAGGAAGAGCACTTTACAATATCACATATTATTAGCTGGCTGTAGACGTTTTAATTAATAATTAATAAAGAACATTACACCACACTATAAAGAAAGATAGTAGTTTAAGTTCTGCTATCTATCTATCTACCGGCTTTCGAGATAATCAGTCATAGTAACATGTGACTATGCTACAATATTTAGCAGCAGTATCTGAAAATGGCAAAACACCACTAGCTAATTGACATTAATATTATTATCCTATAACAATTGCTTTTCTTATTAGTTAACTGTACTTCAATAAATGATCAACTCATTTCTCAAACTCCAGTTGTTTTTAATTATTTTACACCCTTATTATTTTATTATTTCGTGAATGTATGTATGTTGAATGTCGTATACAGTTTCAATTAATTTTTAAATGCTTTTTAGGTATATCGTCCAACAAATTTTACATTAATTCGGAAGGGAGATTTGCCTGTAACAAATGCAATGCATCCTACACTCAAAAATACAACCTCAATGCCCATTTGAAATACAAATGCGGAGTTGAGCCTCAGTTTTCATGCCCCTCTTGTAATAAGAAGTTTAGAAAGAAAACCAGTTTGAAATTTCATTCAATAATGGTTTGTTCGAGAACAACACATAAAAATGTATTGGGCGATTTATAAAATTTATGTTTCTTTTATTTGCGTTATTGTATAGATTTTAAGTTAGATAGATCGAAATGTGGTTTATTTGTGTTGAAATTTTTTATTAATTACAATACTAAATGTCATTTCTTTGTACATATTAACAGACAAATAAATATTACATAAGCTAATGTATTATACAATTACATGTATATAATGTTGTACAAGACACTTCTAAATAGCTACCCAAACTGTACATATTTAGATATTACAAAGTATTTCTTTCTAATTTTATAATACGTCATGTTTTTGTTTTAGGAAGTGAGGGTTTCACCTGTCCGAAATGTTATTCGATATATAAAAGATTGAACGATCTGAAACGCCACTATAAGTTTGAGTGTGGTGTAGAGCCCAGATTTCAGTGCAAAGATTGCGGCAGAAAATTCAAACGTAACACTCAACTTAAGTCCCACGTAATGTCGAGACATCCTCATAGTTTAGAGATGAAAAAATAATTAGTTGACTAAAAATCACGCTATTTACTGGTATCATTCGACTATAATAGCTTTAAATATTAGTTTTGTGTAAAGTAACAAATAAAGTTGCTATCCTTGAAATCCTGCAGTATATTTTTGAGCCTGTGGTAGAAAGTGTTAGTTTCTTAAAACCAAAAATAAAAATTGCAACGAAATCTAAAACCTATTAAAAACCTGAAGTATTATTAAGACTAAGTTCAGACAAGCACGCGTCTGACGCGCGATGAAGTGCGTAAATGCCTTTGTGTGAAACGGAAACAATTGTATATTGAAAGTGCCAAAACAGCCATAAATAGAACAAACACACCATTACCACAAATATGTCTTTCATTCACTATACCTGTTGACACATTTAATGTTTGACATTTGACGTTTAAGGCTCTAAAGGATTAATAGCGATCTTTATACGCGCGATGCACAAACGCATATGTGATACACATCTATGTGAACCTAGCCTTATTCAAACCGTACCGACCATTAGGGATTGAATTTTAAAAGTCATTATATCTTTTTGGTTATTTTTCTGCTTTCACTGTGCTTTAAATATTTTAGAAAGTTTGCAAAGGATTTGTACCATTTGTAAATGCTGTTGATGTAAGTTAGCATTTTCTATTCGTTCTCATAGTATGGTTTTCTTTTTCTAATGGTGGCTCGTTTTAGTGTCTTTCACCGTACGCCCGTCGTCGACCGGAATTAGCCCATGTTACGTGTGTTCCGATTGTCAAAGGTCATATAAATGGAAAGGCGGACTTAACCAACACCAAAAGTACGAGTGTGGCAAGAACCCTCAGTTTACCTGTTCTGTGGAGGGTTGCTATTACAGGTGCAAGTTGAAAGGGAATCTTAAACAGCATCTAACAAGAAAGCATAAGCTTAACTTTTCTTTCTGACACGAATATTATACGCTGTGGTTTCATAAATTGCTTGAGGCACATCGTAAAGCTGGCGAAGCGAGTGATAAATTTGACAAGAGTCAGAACTAATCTAACGGGGATCTCAGGATAAAGAGACTGACATTTTTTATGATATGTATCGTTTTTCGTTATTTTCGAATGACTAACGACCAAGTTTTCTTGGTAAAAGTGAGAGTGATGTTAAGACTCCCAATGTAAGCTTTTTGTGTAGTCAAAGCGTAGACATTGCTGTATACGGTAAAATGCATGATACATTTTTCGTAAAAGTAAGTAATTAGTTTGAATATATGTTTGTCATGTGTAATACTAAAAAGAAAAACGGCAACGTTTTAGTAAGACACCCTGTACATGTCTTACAAAACAATTTAGTTTTTTTTTACTATTTTTATAAAGATCTTTGGTCTTCTTCTTGCCAATCATCCTTTTGTAAATTTGTTTGAACCAAAGAATCATAAACGTAGGTAGAAATAATTTAGGATTTTATGAGCCATGACTTCGGGCTGTGCAGTGCCCATGAGATTCTGACATACTTCAATATAGTTAAAGAAGTGCCATTTTATTATTTTTTATTCCATTATTATCTATGTATAAGGGCAAGTTCTTTTGTACCATCAAATAGCTGACAAAAGACAACTAACTAACTAAAATTATACATTAAGAGAAAGGGTCTTCATTATTTTGGTGGTTGTTTTGCTTAGTACGCTTTTTTAATTCTTTTAGCCAATTCACCTTTAACACTCTTGTTTAATAAAGCACTACTTATACCTGTATTACAATTTTGTAAATTGTACTTAATCCAAACTATTTTAGTTACACCTATATTTAATCCTGTACACTGTATTAATCAAAAACATTGTAGCATTTTCATGTATAACTGTCAATAATAAATATAAAATGTGGTGTATATTTTTGCTTTTAAAATTGTAAAAAATTCGTATTAAATGCCAATCACATTTTGAAGAAGTTTTATAGAAGCACTAAATAATCTGTGTACTTCGGGTACCCTTTTTATCATCAAATCACCCTCTATATTGGTGCACATTCAGTCGTACATACTGTCTCTTACTGAGTTCTTGTGATGCGGCAACGGGAACTGGTGTCTCTGGTTTCGGCGGTCGCTGCTGTTCGCTGATTGGGCCGAGTTCGTATTACGACTAGTAATGACGGCATTGCACAGTGAAATTATTTAAATACGTAATCGGAAACTTTGTTTAAATGAATACATAATTGTTTAAATGGAAGTATTACTTTAGGCTAATTTTTTTTGTTCTATTTCAGAAAAACATGTATGTCGCAAGTGCGGAAAATCTTACAAACATGTTCAATCAGTGTACAGGCATTTAAAATACTATTGTCAAATGTAGGCCACAATGCTTCTCCATTTGAAGAAACATCGCAAGTATTAATGACCGCTGTGATATCTTCCACATTCGAAAGCATTACTTTAAATTAATGGAAGTGCAGCTCCAGAAAAAATTTAGCCTTTGTTATAAAATTGTACAGAAGGAAACAAGCATCAACCACACGTGTAATTAAGGAAAACTATCTTCCATGACAGGATGAGCGCTGTGGAAGCTGCAGTACCTTCCGTTCCTTGTAGTCTTATGTGCAGCTTCCTATGTGCGCATGTGCACAACTGTCAAACCCCTCCCCTTTGGAACTGCATTCAACACAGCTCCATCAAAGATTTTTTTATTAAACTGAAGTATTGTACTGATTATGTGTATTGTACAAATGTAGCTAAAGAATTAAATAAAACATAGGGACTTATTATATTAAATCAATAATATATCAAGTGAAAGTAGGGGTAGATTTTTTTTAATTTAATTTTAAATAAATATTTATTTTGTTTTTTGTTTTGGATTTAATATAATATTTCATATAAATGCACTCGCTCTGGCTTGTTACATCGTCTTGAATAAATGATTTACGTTTTATTAACATTTTAATCATTTTTATTTCATAATTATAGTCGCCCGGTCTAATTAATCTTAATTGCGAATTGCACTAACATTTCTTTACTAATCCCAAATGCATTAACTTATAAATCTTTAAAATGTTAATCGAAGAGTNATTACGAAACCCAGTAAATATACTATTGCGACCCCTAGAAATTTAAAATAGAAAGAGTTAATATAAAAGTGGACATGTTGGAATGCTTAATGTGAGACTGGGTTAAATTTGGGGGTTAATTTTTGACTAGGTTTGCTGATGGGTTTTCTGGGTTATTGACTTGACTAGAGTGACCATTTTTAGGATAGGTTAGGTTAGGTTAAAATAATAATTACGTAAGAGAGGATAATGTAGAAAAACGTGTTATGTATTTTATTCCTTATTCTTACCAATAGAAGAAGTGAGACATGGTACTACCATGAGAACGCTCCTTACATTCGGCCAACTTGTTTCCCCCAGGTATACGCCAGCCGTAACGAGACTAAAAGCTGTTAAATTCTTCTTAGAAACACTACCCGGACTTAGCAATACAGGGACGGAAACTAAACTGCCGGAAAATGTAGTAAGGTGTAGCAGGTGCCTACATTCCATTGGTCAACCGCACTGCGCACGCTTACTAGGTCAATTACGGTGTAATTTGCTAGCGATTAGTTGATGTGCAAATGTAACCAATGAGATTTAGGCACCACTGGACTGGTACCACCCATTCTTTCCTGGTGACACTTTTAGTTCTGTCCCTATAGTCGTATGTCTATGATTTATTCACAATCGAAGAGTTTACCTGATCCTAACCCTGTCAGTGCCCTTCCACAAAGTAGGATTTGAATTGTGGATGCTTTTGTAATTAAAATCCAGCCTATTATCGTGGGAATAGCCGATATTTTTATGGTGGTTAAACGGCCAAAATTTTCTTCGAGAATGCCGGTAAAAAGAGACCCGGTCATCATCGTGAAGGAATTTACACTAGCTGAAGATATTTTGATGGTAAAATATGAATATCGTGATCAATGTAATTTTGAACTTACCCATCCAAGAGATTTCGTTATCAGTTACGTTTATCTCGCTGTGGGGTGATTCCAAGGCAGGAATTAGTACACCAGAAAATGACAGAGCCATCCCTGTTATCATGTTGAATAGGCAGACCGTTATCCCCGCGAAAACCTATTAGAAAAATCAAAACAACAAAAAAATGACTTAAGCAGTTTTGTATGAATGATTTTCTCGAAAAATTAGATGAAGTGGCAGATTTTAGGCATCTAGGAAGTCAGATAAGTCAAGACGGAAGGAGTACTAGGGATACAAAGCAGAGGATAGCACAGGGTCGAGTCGCCTTTAATAAAAAGAAATCATTTCCATGCTCGCGAACGGTTAATTTAGAAATTCGAAAAATAATGTTAAGGGTGTATGTTTGGAGCGCGGCGCTGTATGGGTGCGAAACATGGCCGGTGGGTGCGACGAAAAAAAAAAGTTAGAAGCGTTTGAAATGTGGTGTCATAGGCGAATGATGATGATATCGTGGATAGAGAAGGTTAGAAATGAAGAGGAATTAGAAAGGATAAGGGAAGAGAGGATTCTATGGAAGTCAAAAAGAAATAAGCGAGATAGTTTGGTAGGACACCTTTTCAGGCATGGAGGTCTAGTCAGAGATATATTAGAGACAGAAACAGGAGTTAAGAGGAATAGAGATAGACCTAGATTAGATTACTGTTCGCAAATAGTTAAGGATGTGGGTTGTTCTGGTTTTAAGAAAATGCGAAGATTAGCTCAGGATAGGAAAGAGTGAAGGTGCGTGTCCAAACAGTCTTAGGACTGACGACCTTATGATGATGATGAGTATAACTAGGGTAGATTGCTCTGCAATTACGATATCCAAACAAAAAAAATATAAAAATACAACACAAAATAGAATAATAACATAGATATTATAAACAGTAGTTACCTGGGGTAGGATTGTTTTCGCCGAATGAATTTTGTAGATTTCATCATCGTTAGAGGGACTTTCACAGTCTTTTTCGCTAACAGCTTGGTATCTTTTTAAAAGAAGATAAACAAATTATCTAATATCTAAGTTAAAAATTGTTTACGTTTTATGTACTTACTTTTTCTCAACCATGTTTTGACAAGTGTATTTGTTATTGTTCAGTGATTTTCTTTTATAGAATTGTACATGTAGCACGTGATTAGGGAAAAGTTCGTAACTAATATGCATAATTATACTATAGTGGCAAATGATTGAATTTTCATCTCATAAATGTGATGATATAATATGTATTATGCATCATTTTTTTTCCTTTACTTTTCATGTTTCAAGAATGTGATGTAAGAAGTTGCATCTAATTTATTAATAAGATTTTAATAAAATTTTGCATAAAAAGCAAACAAATCACACATACGAGTATTATCAATTACATACGTAGCGGTTAGATAAGTCTAATTTTTTTTTTAATTACGCAATTAGGATTTTCTTTGGGTAAAAATTAATTTTCTTATGAAACCGGCTCGTGTTTTATTGTAAAACAAGTACAAAAAAGCTTTATATACAAGATAGAGATGTTCATTTGAAATATTCTTCTATTTCGGATAATTTTTTGCCTTTAGTTTCTGGTACGAAAAAATAAATGTAGATGACGCCGAGCAGTGAAATCGTCCCATAAAAATATTGTATTCCAGTGGAACCACCCAATAAATCGTTAAGGGTCCTGAAGCTTTGCAGTGCTGCCGACATAATGCCGGCAGCTAGTGCAGCGATTAAGCTCGAGGCTATCCCACGAAGGTGCAAGGGATAGCATTCTGCTATCATGGTCCATGGTACCGGCAAAAGACCAATCATACCTATTACCATATACGCGAATAATAACGCCAGGGGTACCCATTTATGTTCTGTCGTACCTAGATCACAAAACAAAAAAAAATCGGTTGTCTGTAAAGTCGGTTTACTGACGATAGTTGAACGTGACAACGTCATAAGAAAATACTGATGGAATGGTTTCATTTTTCAAAAGAAAATTTTAATTTTATTTGTTTGATAGATATTTTGTATGGATATAGAGAANAAAAATATTAACGTGTAATAAAAGATTGTGTTTCATTTATCTTTAACTATGGCTTCTCGGAGTTGTAAAAACAATTGAAATGTATTTTTTTACATTTGCGGACAATATACAATAGTTAAGCGTATATTGAATAACACAGACTTTGTAAAAAATGCTTATTAAGCTTACTTCAAATTGAAGTTGTGTCACCAATATAAACACTGGGTTACAATAAAATATGCCGGTTATGTGTTGAAGTGTGAAGTGGACTTATGGTAAATCAAAATCATTGTTATTCGGTATTTCTATGTCCAAATTAGAATGCAATTGGAAGTCGAAGTGAAAAATGTCATCAATACGAGTTTGAAAGAAGAAAGTATTGCTTCCACCGCTTTACGTTAAACTTGGTTTGATCAAACAGTTTGTAAAGGCATTTCGACTTGACCAACGGTGATTATTTCATGTTTGGATATCGAAGTCATGATTTATATAGGTTTTAAGCACATAAAAAAAACGTAAGGACACAAAAAATTACTTTTTAAGGAAAAAGTCAATTCAAAAATCACGTTTTTTTTGTTTATTTTCGATCTTTCAATGCTTTAATATTGTCGGAGGTATTTTTAACCAACACCATCGAAAAGAGTATCGTTAAAAACATAGAAACACTGGTTATCGAATATTTGTTCGTCGCACTCATTACGTGGCAAGGGTTCAAATGGAAATGTGTTCTCTGAGCATTTATGGGTTAATGTGACGTGGTATACACCGTATAAATATCGTTTCCTATTACTTTTAAGACAATTATGACAAACATTAACAATTTAAGAAAAAAACCTTTAAAAAAAATTTCGCAGACCTGTGTAATCAATGACTTAAGTTTTGAAGCGAAACTATTATAATTTCCACTGCAACATTTACATTATGGAAAAAAAGCAAAAAAGCGGTTGGGTTAGGATCATAAAGTGGTTACAACTCGCATTTAAAATGTTGGAGTCAGGGAAGATATGAACGTGAAACTTTTTGTTCATATGTAGGTAAGTAGGTATAATTCCGAGACATTCCATGTCAGATAATTAAAAAAAAAAAAAGATGAAGCACGTACTGATAAAAATGTAGTGTAGTGACGTTACGTAGGTAATATTTATTTCACGATCAGTTAGTTTCTAATATGTATTAAAAAGTGGAAACAAAATCGCAATTTTTTCGGTCCGTCTTTTGCAATCGGATATCCTTGCGTTTTGTTTTCTTCTCCCCGCCTCAAAAAACCGTTTCAATCTCCACGTAATGGTCTAATTGTCGTCCAAAAATTCCCACAGTCGACGGTCACACGATCTAGTAAAAAGGGTGCTGCTACCCAAGCAGCTTTTACATAGCTGTGCTTTCATTGTACCATCATAAACAAAGCGCGTCCGAAGCTGCTTTCGATACGTCAGACAGAGACGGAGAAATCCCTCGCGAGCATTGGCCATAAAGCTCGAGAAGGAAGGTTGTTCCTTTGGTCCCCACTTTTGTCCCTCTCCACTTATACTTAACACTTCGTATATAACTTAAATCTATCTACGTTTGACGTTATTTTGTTTTCGTTTCTGTACGACGACGTAGTGAACGAAGCGACAGCGATAAATCAGTTAGTACGCGTAGTGTTTTGTTATTGCGACAATCGAAATGGCACCGACAGCATACATGGTGCAGAACAGTGAATATGGAGAGGAGCCGATATCTCGTACTTACCAATATCGAAAAGTTATGAAGCCGATGTTAGAAAGAAAACGGAGAGCTAGGATAAATCGTTGTTTAGACGAATTGAAGGAACTAATGGTGACCGCTCTACAGAGTGAAGGCGAAAACGTTTCGAAACTTGAAAAAGCGGACATCCTCGAGTTGACAGTGCGCCACTTACATAACCTCAAACGTCAGCATCAGTTAATTTTACCGTCTGAACAGTCGTATGCGGACAGGTTTCGTGCTGGTTTTACACATTGCGCTCAAGAAGTGTCCCAATTTTTGTCATCACCGAAAGACTGTGTTGACCCCGCGGCTGGTAGGAAGCTGCTCCAACACCTCGGCTCTTGCATGAGACAGTTGGATTGCGTTTCGCAAATGCATTACGCGCATCATGTGCAAGGTTATACACCACCGTTGTCACCTTCTTCAACGGAAGTTGCCAATCAAAATCAGAAGATGTGGAGGCCGTGGTGAAGTTTAATCAATACCGTTTAGCGTATCGCGCCACGTCGCTTCGCTTCGTGTGAACCAACCCTTGTGTTAACGTAATGGAATGAAGTTAAGTTTGCGTAATTTTAAGAAGCCAAGAATGAAAACATCGTCTTACATATGTATACCATTAGAGCGTCATAAATCAAAAACTAAAAAAGTTGAAACTGCACAAACAACTGTACCGTAAAAACATTGATGAATGTGTTAATTAGCGTATTGTATTGTACGCAAAAATCATTTTCGTTTTATCCAGTTAATAACAAAATCACCACCATTTCTTGTTTCATGATCGTTTGTACTTCGGGAAAAAAATTGCAATGTTACAGAACTGTTGTANAAATCGTTCATCATGACTGAAGGCAGTGGAAGTAAATATTCCACTCTGACTTGAAACTGCATACGTAATACTACACCCCGATAGGGCGTCATCCATACCAGAGTATTCCATCTGCAGCATCCACTCAGAATGAAGGATTTATGTCCACTGTCTCCAGTCAGGGTGAAGGGTTTTCTTCCACAGCTCCGCGCAAGCCGGAGGACTTGCATGATCATTGGAGGATTTACGTCTGCAGCTTTTAGTATTCACTTCCATTACCTCTAGTAAGGGTAGAGTCAATGGAAATAAATGCTCCAGTGAAGGCAGTGGAAGTACAATCCTTACTCTGACTGGTAACTGCTGATGTAAAACCTCATCCTAACTGGATGCAGTCGTTGCAAATTATCTACTTTGATCTCAAGATGCATATGTAATATTACACCACGGCAGGAGGTGCAGCATCTTCTATTTACTTTCATTACCTCCAGTAAGGGTGGAGTTAGTGGAAATAAATCGTTCATCATGACTGAAGGCAATGGAACTAAATATTCCACTCTGACTGGAAACTGCATACGTAATACTACACCCCGATAGGGCGTCATCCACAGCAGAGTATTCCATCTGCAGCATCCACTCAGAGTGAAGGATTTATGTCCACTGTCTCCAGCCAGGGTGGAAGATTTACACTCAATGCCTCCAGTTAAGGTGGAGTCAGTAGAAGTAAATTGTCTAGCCTCCATATTAAAACGAATCGTCAAGTTCTATTAAAAGTAATTTTGAGTTTACGTACTAAGTCTTCAGGATAAGTTAGCTTTGGTTAGCATGACCTATGCTAAGTGGTTACAATACAGTTTTTCAATTTTACATGTCTTATTTAATTGGTTAGTATATCATTTTAGGTTTACCTCCACTTATTCCTACAAAAACTCGACCTATCAATAGCATGGTGGTGCTTTTAGCAAGGGCAATTAAAACCCAACCCACCGTAATGGGTATGATGGATATTTTTATGCAGTTTAATCGGCCAATTCTATCCATTACGGGTCCACATGTCAGACTTGTCAGTGCTATTACTAGGGTGGTTATACTTGCTAGAAAAAATAATATGTGGGGGTGACTGGTACTTGAACTGGGGGTGGTACTGCTTACCGATTAAGGAACTTTCTGTCGTCGTTACTTTTATATCGGAATTAGGACTTTCAATAGCAGGAATAAGGATGCCGGTGTACGCTAAACCTAGTCCTACAATTAAATTGAATCCTGACGCTACAAACGTTCCAATACACTGTAGATTACATAAAAAATAAAACAGAGAGTGAATATTTAGTTAATGTTATTGAACTACTACTTAATTATTACTGGTTAAAACAATAACAAATGTTTTGTTTATCCATATATATTGATAAAATAAAAGTAATTGGGAGAAGATTGTTATAAAATATGGACATTTCTGTACGGTTTGAGTTTTTGTTTTATTTATTACTAGTGACCCGCCCCAGCTTCGCACGGGTGCAATGCTGATACTAAATATATTTTTGTTTTGTTTAGATTATTATCGAAAAGGGGAAATCTTCAAAAGATACCCCCTGAACATACTAAATATACTACAGAATGTCTTTATATACAACATTCACAGTTTTTTTGTCATTAGACAATACAAACCGGCCTCCCGGCCGGTACCGCCGCAACCGCTATGTCCCTGCATTTTAAATCTGTAATATCTTCGAAAATATTCATTTAAATTACATGCTGTAAAGGGCCATATTGATCTATATTAAATGCACAATGTATTTAAGGTACTTAATTGGATAAGAATTAATGCTGTATTGCCTACAATCGCTTCGTAAATAAGTCATTATTTCTCATAAAAAATAAAGGATAAAAATGTTTATTGTGGGTTATCCGTAAGAGATAGACATATACCATCACAGACTTTTTTGTAGACCCTTTTAAGATGTACAATATTGTAGTACATTATTTTGATCTATCTCGTAGGATTCAGCCGGCGTTTGCAATGTAAGCACAAAAAATGCGTTTCTTTACGACATCACAATAGAAACCTCTAAATTTATCACTGTTTTCCTACGATATTATGCATGTATTATACATATAAACCTTCCTCTTGAATCACTCTATCTTTTAAAAACACCGCATCAAAATTCGTAGCGTAGTTTTAAAGATTTAAGCATACATAGGGACAGACAGCGGGAAAGCGACTTCGTTTTATACTATGTAGTGATATCAACATTAGAATGATTTCTGAATTAAATAAAAGCTCAATATTGAAAATCGTACCTGAGGTAGAACACTTTTAAATGACTTATTTTCATAGTCAGCTAAAGTCATTTTACTGGCCATAATTTCTGCTAGTTTTTCATCTGCTTTATCATCATTAATAGACACAGAATAACCCTGTTTACTAAAAAATATAAGAGGAATAATAAAAAATAACATTTGTACTATTTTTGGCTTTTATTACTTACCTTTCGGATTTCATGGTGATGACTTCTTCTTCCACGGTTCGCACTTATTTTAATATCCCTCTAAGGTACTCACTGAATTGAGCACTTTAACAATTACATCTCTTAAATATTAAATTATTTAAAATAAAAGCGAATTAAAGAAACATGTCGAGGATTGAAAAGAATTCTTCATGCAGTACGGCGGAAGTGAAAACAAATCATTGAAGATATCATGTACTTTGAAGGTCAAAATTGTTTTAAAATTAGTTTTCTTAACTTAGGGTCAAAACTTACCAATGGTAGACAATAGGGTTAAAACTGATGTTAGGGAACCTCTCAAATCCGGCCTTGAAATTTCTGAGATATAAACAGGGACGGAGTTAACTCCTAAAGCTGAAAATTAAATAAACGATAAAAATATGTTTGGTAGGTGCAAGATAAATCGTTCATCATGACTGAAGGCAGTGGAAGTAAATATTCCACTCTGACTTGAAACTGCATACGTAATACTACACCCCGATAGGGCGTCATCCATACCAGAGTATTCCATCTGCAGCATCCACTCAGAATGAAGGATTTATGTCCACTGTCTCCAGTCAGGGTGAAGGGTTTTCTTCCACAGCTCCGCGCAAGCCGGAGGACTTGCATGATCATTGGAGGATTTACGTCTGCAGCTTTTAGTATTCACTTCCATTACCTCTAGTAAGGGTAGAGTCAATGGAAATAAATGCTCCAGTGAAGGCAGTGGAAGTACAATCCTTACTCTGACTGGTAACTGCTGATGTAAAACCTCATCCTAACTGGATGCAGTCGTTGCAAATTATCTACTTTGATCTCAAGATGCATATGTAATATTACACCACGGCAGGAGGTGCAGCATCTTCTATTTACTTTCATTATCTCCAGTAAGGGTGGAGTTAGTGGAAATAAATCGTTCATCATGACTGAAGGCAATGGAACTAAATATTCCACTCTGACTGGAAACTGCATACGTAATACTACACCCCGATAGGGCGTCATCCACAGCAGAGTATTCCATCTGCAGCATCCACTCAGAGTGAAGGATTTATGTCCACTGTCTCCAGCCAGGGTGGAAGATTTACACTCAATGCCTCCAGTTAAGGTGGAGTCAGTAGAAGTAAATTGTCTAGCCTCCATATTAAAACGAATCGTCAAGTTCTATTAAAAGTAATTTTGAGTTTACGTACTAAGTCTTCAGGATAAGTTAGCTTTGGTTAGCATGACCTATGCTAAGTGGTTACAATACAGTTTTTCAATTTTACATGTCTTATTTAATTGGTTAGTATATCATTTTAGGTTTACCTCCACTTATTCCTACAAAAACTCGACCTATCAATAGCATGGTGGTGCTTTTAGCAAGGGCAATTAAAACCCAACCCACCGTAATGGGTATGATGGATATTTTTATGCAGTTTAATCGGCCAATTCTATCCATTACGGGTCCACATGTCAGACTTGTCAGTGCTATTACTAGGGTGGTTATACTTGCTAGAAAAAATAATATGTGGGGGTGACTGGTACTTGAACTGGGGGTGGTACTGCTTACCGATTAAGGAACTTTCTGTCGTCGTTACTTTTATATCGGAATTAGGACTTTCAATAGCAGGAATAAGGATGCCGGTGTACGCTAAACCTAGTCCTACAATTAAATTGAATCCTGACGCTACAAACGTTCCAATACACTGTAGATTACATAAAAAATAAAACAGAGAGTGAATATTTAGTTAATGTTATTGAACTACTACTTAATTATTACTGGTTAAAACAATAACAAATGTTTTGTTTATCCATATATATTGATAAAATAAAAGTAATTGGGAGAAGATTGTTATAAAATATGGACATTTCTGTACGGTTTGAGTTTTTGTTTTATTTATTACTAGTGACCCGCCCCAGCTTCGCACGGGTGCAATGCTGATACTAAATATGTATATTTTTGTTTTGTTTAGATTATTATCGAAGTGGGGAAATCTTCGAAAGATACCCCCTGAACATACTAAATATACTACAGAATGTTTTTATATACAACATTCACAGTTTTTTTGTCATTAGACCATAATACG